TAGTAAGCAAAATTATTAGAGGGGGGAAAAAATGGAGGATTATCAGAGGCTCAGTAAACTGGAGAAGGCAAATTCTGAGCAGCAGTTTTGGGAATGGGGAAGGAAGGAGAACTGAGTGCACTGAGCCCCAGTGGGGCAGGGAGCCAGGAGTCCCATGCCCATCTGTCGAATAAGCCGGGTGTCACTGTGAAACGGACTGGGAGCAGAAAAAGTAAAATATGCTGACTCTACAGAATACAACTTTTGATAATCATTGGAAACCAAAGGCAGGGTCAGGACTGAGATAAGTCAGTGAAGACACTTGCCTTGGACATAAAACTTAAGGAGATGATAATGAACTCAGTAATCAAGATAAATAATATTTTACTGTAATATATATTTTAAAAATCAGTATTAATTTAAACAAATTTATAATGAACAAAATATAAAACCTTTAAATTAATAGACAGGATCACGATTACGGATTTTTCTCCCTGTCTTGTGTTCCAGTATGGCTCCTCCAGGCACTACCTTCCTATCTGCCATAGTCTTCCTTCTGCTCTTACTGTCACTTGACCCATTTTGCTCCAGGTGTCCTGGACATTTTATCCTTCTTCTTGTTCCCCCTTCTTAATTCTGTCTTTTTCTTCTTTAATCTTTAATTCCCTCCCCTTTTTTATTTTTCAAATCTTCTCCCTTTTTGGATGGCCTTTCTTTCTTTTTTGTACTTTTCTTTCATCTGTGCCCCCTCTCTCCCTTAACAAAGCATAATGGAAAACAAGTTTGGCACAACTTGTTATATGTGTTAAAATGTTAATGTTTAATTGTCTGTCTATATTCTTCCAAGGAAAATATAAAAATTTTCATTATTGTTCTTATGATCTATAACCCTCATTGAATCATTTTTGGAATTACTTTTGGGCAAGTCACTTAGCATTTCTTTGTTTCGGTGATCTCATTTGTACATCAGTATTATGTCTACCTCACAGAGCAATTGAGAAAATTAAATGAGATCGTGTATATCAAGCACTTAAAACAGTTACTGCTAATATATATACACACACTCACATGTTTGATACTGTCATCATTATTACTATGATTATTATTACATTCACAATCCAGAGCTGTTAAGACATCTGTGTTTCTCTGTAAGATTAAATCCATTTAAAGTAATTTAGATTTTAGAGGCTCTAATTTGCTAGTCTATCATGGAATCAACTTTACATATCTTCATAAATGTTCTACTACTGTTCAAAACAATATCATGATTTAAATGTTCCTGGGACTATGTAGTGGGATTTGCTGAAATTGATAGAGACAGTCAAGACTAAATCTGGAACACGGCAGCTTCCTTTTACATTATTCAAAAAGGAAAATGCTTACAATTAACTTTGCGCTCACCAACTTTTTTAACATAAAATTGCCTTTGTTTAAAATGATGCAAATAAAACCTTGTAAAGGAGGAAAACAAATTTCTAAACATAACTAAGCTGTGCTAAGACAAGTATACTGAAATTAGTTATAGTAAATAAATCCCTAAATCAAAAACCTGGAGGTTTCTTCTAATGTTCAGGATATGTTATCTGACAGAGATGTAAAAGTTTAAAATTAGAATTATTATGGAAATTCAGAGTACAGGACATCCAGCGAAATGGACAACCACCCCTATAAATGGGAAGGCAACAGATTCAAAAACAAAAACCACTCACAAGCAAAAAGGCCTTTGAAAGTTTTATTTTTTCAAATTTTCTTTAAAAACTATTAACCATATAAGCTTCAAGAATGTATATATTAATACTCTATTGTTTAATTTAAGTGAAAAGCTTAAATTTTACTTAGAAAACTAATTTTTAAAAGCCAATGAAATAAACACAAAAGTTTCTGGGTGAGGGGTCTCACCCAAACATTTTTATAAGAGAAGTATTGGAAACAACCTAATGAAGAAGGGTTAAGTAAGTAATGATATTTCTCTAAGAGGGAATAAAAGGCAACAATTAAAAATTATATTCTGAAGCAGTTGCATGATTTGAGAAAGTGATCACAACATAGTCAGTGATAGTGGATGAATATGTGCATATACATACATATACACACACACACACAGACACAAAACTTAATCTCAATTAATTAAAAATATCTAAAATAGATCAGAATATACAAATATACTCATAATCTTATATCTGTATAGAATTAATTTCCTAATAAATTATTTTGGTAACATTTTCATTAGGAAACAATTATAAATGAATGGATATTACTTACAATTCTCTGATTTATTATAATTTTATACTTTTTACAAAATTTTTATTTTTTACAGTTCTGTGACCCTGAATTACTTATATTTTAAAAACAAATTTGGCCAGATATCATTGACTACACATAACCACATATAAGAATCTTACCAGTTGAGGTTTCCTGAAATTTTAAAATTTGTCTTATCTGCTGTTGTGCTTTTCCTTTTGCTCCCAGTTGTATCATTCCAAGAACCAAAGTTGTTCCAAGCGGGGAAAATACAATGTTGTTCTCATGAGATGAACAAATAGCTTGATAAAGATCCACTGCAAATTCGGTACTTCTTTGAGCCAAGCCTCTTGAGACTTGGTTTCCAGAGAAAGTCAATAGAAGACTCCATAGCAAGACCTTAAACATTTTGACCTCTGTGCATTAATTCAAAATTTATTAGTTTTCAAAGTAATCAGAGTTTATCATACCACACTCAGAAGAAAACTTTCTACCTATTAGAATGTTCTGTCTTTTTAGGACAAATCACCACAAAAATATTATAACATCACTTTTCAGACTAAGCATCATCTATTAAGAGAAATAGGTTATGTTGCTAATAATAGTTTTTTATATTTCTTTAAGAACCAGTTCAAAATAAATAGCAATTTCTTAAAATCAAAAGAGAAATTATCATTCATGAGTATTAATATAGTAAAACTATATCTAAATGGCTATATGATACATTTTTCTATCTTTTCCCATGGCTTTAAATGCAATATCTGAAACTCTGATATCAAGGGAAACCTCTCACAAGACTACTCTAATGCACGATTTATAGATCAAAAAGAGAAATGAAATTTAAAAAATGACACTAATGTAGTTTTGGACCTATAACATTAGGAAATTAATATATTCTAAATCAATTAAATAACCTGGCTAACTTTTTATGACAGTAAAACTAAGAAATTTGTAGGGGAGAATACTCCAAAACCAATATGTACTTTTCTAAAGGGCAAAAAGAAATCTCAGAAAATTATAAAGAAATGAAATTACAACCAAATATAAGTAGTACAACAATAACAAAAGAAGAAAGCAATTTTTTAAAAAAAAATCAAAGAATAATTTGACAAATAACAAATATAAGAAAGCTGCAATTGAAAACCATAAATAAGTCACAACAACAGCAATCACACCTCATTGAAGTGCTCACCACTAAAATTGAAGAAAATTCGACCCTGATTACATCTTGAGCACAAGGAGTTTTTGCGATTTTACTAAAGACTTGGCGGAAAATCGACACTGAAGATCTTGTAAATTTTAGTAACACTAATTTTACCTTACAAATAATATATTTTAGTAACCCTTAATGACTCCTAGTTGAATAAATTGCTAGGAAGTAACTTTTCTTTGGGGGTAAAGACAAAAGTCTCTGGAATAACATGTTGTTAGCCTTAAATAATTGAAGAACTGTATCTCTAGAGTGTTTTGCAGACCATTAGGGAGGTCATCATGACCCACATATGAGATGATTTATGGGGAATCACTGTTAAATGTAAAGATTATTAATAGTCAAATATTCTCCAAAACTGAGCTGTGGTGCCATTATTTAAATATTTCAAATTATTTTCAAATAAATATATACATATATATTTAAACTCTACTTGCTTAGACATACAATTTGAAAAGGAAAACGATCTCTAAGTGCAATCCAAAATAATTGTCAAAAAATGTTTTGTTAAACTGAAAATATAGATCCATGCAAAAATCAAGGATTAAATTAGTACATGTCTGTAAGTAGCAGTGCAACAATAGTAAAAGCTAATGAGTGAGAGAGGTTTTACATAAAAAATAAATTTCTGTGTATCATTTTCTAATACAATCACCATTTAGAAGATTTCTTCCCAAATATCAGTTTGTAGGTAGTCAAAATGTTATTAGTACGTTTAAGTCATCAAGTGGTAATCCATTAGTCACACCTTTATTTTCTTGGTTTGTATTAGAATAATAAACAATATTATGAAGGATGTGATTTTTCTGCTATAGAAGAACCTGGAAGTTATCTTCTCATTGATATTAACAGTCTTAATAATTAAACTTTACATTCTTTAAGCATCCATTTCTCCAAGAAAATTTCTTGGTACTTAGTAAATTATAAGCTCACACAAAATATTGATTTTAAAAATTCACTTATCCCATTGGCTTTTAGATTATATTTCATTAGAAATCACAAAGTACTAATGAACTAAACAACCTAATGAATAGCTTTATGAGTTTGATATTCAAATTTATAGTGGCATCTTTTAAGGTGAATAAAAGTAATGTATTACTTTGATAAATTTAACTAATATCTACCAAAGTGAACCAAAATGACATTCTTATTCTAGTAAGCACTTATAATCAATATTATTGCATACAAACTTTATTCAAAAGCTATTTAATTTTAAGGTACTTACTCAAAATTTGCTTCTGATGATTCACAGTAATGTTATAACTAAAATATGCCTGCTGAGAAACACTAGCACATGGAACACCTGATGGGTCAAGGCCAACTCTATTTATCTTGAACATTGCTAGATTAATTCCTCTGAAACTAAAACAGATGTTCACCACATTTGTGTGGAAGGACTAACATGATCAGGTTAATGATCAACAATGAAATATTCAAGAACTGAGAGAGAAAACAATACTAGAATTTTAAAAGATCATTCAGTTTATATTATTATTTTATTTATTATTTCACTTCTTTTATAATAAGTAGAAACAGAATTTGGAAGAAAGTGCCAGTGCTTGCAAATTTGCTAGTAGTTAGCTCTTTTCTGTTTCTCACAGGACGAAACAGGTAATCTGTTTCGCATCAGATTACCAATGTACTCCATCATAAATATTTCCAAATGCCTAAGAGAAAAACAGTAATGCAGTATCAAGTCAATAATGCAGAGAGACAAATTACCACTGCATTTACAGAGTTCTCAACAATTCACTAAATTATACAATAGTCAGAAGAATTTTTTGTGGCTAAAAGGCCTCAGTAAAAAGTCTAAATATTAAAGAAATATAATCTTTATGTTGAAAAGAAAGACCAGATTATGATTATAGATTTACCAAATTATATCAAGATATTACTGTTAAACATAAGTAATTTCATAGTTAACATTGGAGTTACTTTTATGTGCTCTTAAAATTTTTCATATTGTTTTCTACACATGGTTCATTAATAAAAAATGGACGTGTAATTGAGTGGGTTTTGATCTCATTATTCTAGTTCAAATCAATCACATCAATGGCAATCAGATATTACATACATTGCATTATTCGTAAGTGGCTTCTGAGAAGAGAAATGGAAAATTTGTTCCAGATACAATTAAACAAATATTTACTATTGATTCCTAAATGTAATATTATTTCTGGTAAATCTATGAAAAAGAAGTAAAATGAATAAATATACATTTAAAAGTGTTTTTTTAAAAAACAAAACAAAAAAACTTTTTCAAGGACCCTATTAACATCTTTTAGTGTCCTAATAGGGATATAGCTTCATAACAGGCTTGAGAATCCTGATGACTAATACTGGCCATAATCTTCTAACTTACTAAAATTTTTAATTACCCATCTACACATATCTACACGTTTTTTAAATGTTCAGTTATACCCTAATATTGCTTATTCTGATAGAAACAAACTCATTTCCAGCTTTTAGCTTAACACCATTAGAGATTATTTGCCAAAAACGCAGTTATGCAACAGAAGAACACTATCATTCTTTTGCTCTCCTCTGTAATTCATAAATAATAAGTCTGAATGTCCAAGACTATGATCCTATCAATGCTTTTCTACCCATGCAGTGACACCATCAAACACCCATCACAAGTACACTTGGTTACCAAATTATTGTGCCTATGATGCTCAGATTATAATGTAATTTACTCAAATAACCTTCCAAGGACAGAGACCGACACTCTGTGTTAGTGAGATCATTTAATGAGCTTGCTCTGTAAGCAACTTATGCTAGGGCAGTTCTGGCAGGCTGTGCATGCTCTTTATTTTGGGGAGTAAAAAGCAATGGCCATGAGTGTCTCCTCCATGGTTTTCAGCTCTTTTAATAAGCACTAAGATACCACAGTTGTTCCTGAAATATTACTGGAAACCTTTTAAATATTTTCAGAAGTCTGTTCCTTCTACAACTCTATTTTGCCCCTAGGCATCAGGAAAAACAAAACTAGTAATTAGTGAGATCCAAAATGTCTTGGTATTAATTTGAACACCATCACTACACCTACTGCAAAACAAACAAACAAGCAAACAAACAAAACTATCTTGGAATATATGTATAAAAACAATAGCAAGGGGTTATGGGTTCAATTTCATTATCTTTCTTAGCATTTTATAGTTTTTTTAAGTAAAAATGTGTTTAATTCTATACTTTAGAAACACACAATCAAGTGTTCTCATTAATAAAGGGCTTAAAAGTTAATTTGTCCATAGATTAATATCCACTGTTTTTTCCTTTTGTCAGTTTGCTCCATATTTGTGTGTAATAAGAGGAAAATTTTCTAAAAAAGAACAAGTTAAATTATATTTAGTGTAAATCTTCATACTATAAAGTAGCTTACTGAAATGTATAGCACACTCCATTTTAATCTGACAAGTTCTTTTCACTGTAGAAAAACAGATCTTAAATAATTAAGCCTAAATGTTAATCTCAGAAATAGCTTATAAAGTCTTCAGTTCTATTAACATTTGGTAGGTAAGACCCTGCCTAGAAAATTAGAAGCTGCAAGGTATAAAAGAAGAAGAAGACATAATTCAATGTCCTTTTTTCCTTTTTTCGGGATGTTTTGATCCTAAGTGTTAGAAACAGTATCATTAAAAGAGACTATCATACTTTTAAAATCTCTGTTCTTATTAAATATACTTGTGAGACAGCTCCTCTTCCTTCTTGTCAAAGAAGAAGCACTGAATCAGGGATTAGGGACACACACAGCGTAGTGCTTACACATGCACTAGAACAGAGAGAGAAGGTCTGTCTACATGAACCAGACCATTTCAGACTGTCACTTCAGGGAAAGTCTCTAGCGGTGGACAAAGTAAAATATGTCTAGTAAAATAATTTCTAATTATAGTAGGAAAACTAGGGGGCTCATTCAATCTTTGCTTAATAAACCATTGTATTTTATGTGCCTTCACTTCAGGAAGCTGATGACGAGAGATGTATATTCTACTTATTTGTGTATACATGATGTCTAAAAACAGTCCCTTGCATATGCCTTAAATAATTGGATGGGTAGATAAATGGATAGACGGACAGATGGATGGATGAAATGGATGGATGGATAGACAGAAGAATGGCTGAGTGGGTGGATAGGGAAAAGAACCTTCACAGAGTATTTGGTACCTATATTATATCTCCTTAACATCTTAATAATAGTCCATTAAATTGCTGGAAATGTGGCTCAAATCCAAGTCCACTGTACTGTCACCAATATATGATTCATAAATCATATGCTCAAAGTTTGAAATGATGAATTGTCCAATCAACTCTTCAACCAGTGGGAGAATTTTCTGCAATATCCCCATGAGAGAGTCATTGGGCCTCTGTCTGGGCATCTGAAGGAATCTTTTGTCCCAAGGCAACATTTTCATTTTCAAAAAATAATTTACTTTGAGGTACTTTAAGTTTACAGAAAAGTGTTGATATAACAATTCCTCTTTTCTCTCTGTTTCCCCAGTTAGCATTTCACCACATATGTGTGTTCTTTCTATATAACTAATTCCTATCTATCCATCCATCTATTGATCTCTATAATATATGTGTGTATGTGGATACATATATATGCATGTGTGTATGTTATAATTGGTATTTTCTGTGTAATTTGAGAGCATGCTGCAAACATAATTTTCTAACACTTCTAAATATTCCATTCTATCTCTTTCTCTCTCAGAAACCGTGAGTTCACAGTGGTATCTCTAATCCCAATCCAAAATCTCAGGGTTCTTTCTAGTTTTCCTCCTTTCAAATGTTATAATTACCTTTTACAACAGTGAGATATCTGACCCTCATTATCCTTAACATGTTTACTAATTTCATTCATTTAGTCAGTTATTTTTTGCTCAGTGTAATTAGTCTCCCAACCATGCTGGTCATCTCCTTCACTTACCCTCTCTACCTTCCCACCCTCCAATTCTCTCTCCCTCACCCACCCCATCTCTTGGATCCAGTAAGCATATCTCTGGTGGGTCTTCTCTAGGCTCCTCCTTCCCTTGTTAGCCATAGAGTGTGCCCGCTGCCAACTACTCTGCACCAAGATGGGAAGTGCAATTGGGAAGAAAAGGGAAAATGAGACACTCTTTCATGTTTTAACAGGCATTAGGAAGAATTCTAGAATCTGTGTTCCTAAAGTTATGCCCATCTGTTCTACTTTTACTCCTTTTCTTCACTACAACTTTGAAATATTTTAGAATAGGTTATATCTCCCATGAATTTCCTTTCTTAAGCAAGACCTGACATGTTTTCTTCCTCTGAACATGCTTTCTAGGATCTTAACCACTCTGAAAACATTCTCCAATATTTGTTAATTGATTCTGTCACATGTATTATTCTCTTACATTTTCCCCATATGTAACTGTCATTCAATGACAAGGAAAGCAATGCCTGACTCAGGGTACACTTAATTATAGATGCAATAGGTAACTGTCTTCTAAAAGCTTTTCCACTGTCATCCTCTCCACCAAACTAAAACATTTGCTCCCTGATACTGGAAATTCTGTTGTTAAAGTCCATTTCACTGATTTTAAAAGTAGTAAGGCGTAAACGCAGCGGTGAAGGGCAAAACAATGATCTCTGGAATAAAAGATGTCTGGGCTCCGATCCCAGATCTGCCATCAATGATTGGTCATTCTCAGATTTTAACCATAAAATAGCTACATCTTATATCATTATTGTGAGATTTAAATACAATGAATTTTTGCAGTTACTGGACAGAGTAGTCTTCTTTATTGTCAATTATTTCCTTTATTTTTATTTGTTATTGCAAAATTTTCCCTAAAATAGAAATATCTTGAAAGGATGCTTTAAAATACAAATGTGTAGTAAACAAAGTCATGTGAAAGATTTTATTAATTATTCCTACAGGACAAAATATATAATGCAACCTAAGAATACTGGTTGCGTGATGGATGCTGATATTCATAAAGAAAAATGGATAAGAAAAGTAAAGCATTGTGTTTCAGGACTAAGCATTTTTTATTTCACCTTCCACATTGAGTGAGTTTTTATACAACTTCAGAACCCTTTCTTCTTGAGGCTATTACCTCTTTGATTGTACCATGCCATTCAATTTTAGAGTATAACAAAGTATAGAAGTACAACTTAATTTCTCAATAAGCCCATGTAAGAATGAATATGTCAATAAAAATTAATAAAACAGCACTACTGACAAGGTCTAATTGCATTATTAGTATCATTTTTAAAATATATAGGAAGTGTAAATAAGTGAGCATGTTTTTCTCAGTCAAGTTTGATATAATGTGTTAGTACCTTTTGTATTTAATTTCAACATAGGTTTTACAATAAAAATTGTCCAAAATGCCTGTCTATATAGCAGCAACCAAAGGTGTGACTGGTCAAATGCTTTGTTCTGAAATTGTTCATTTTTTATATAAAAACACTTGAGAATAAATAACACCAATTGACACGATCCCCTCTTTAGTCCAATCTTCCTTTTATTGAAAATAGAGAGAACGAAAATGAAAAGTGATAGGTAAAAACATTTTTTGGAAACAAAACATTCTAAAGTTGAAAAACAAAGTTAAAAAAGGGGGGGCAAAATTCTTGATTCTTTTATACATTTTATACATATACTTTATACGTCGATGAAATATTTATTTTTCTTTCAGTCATAATTGCTTCTTATTTCCTTTTATCTTCACTTCACTACTTGTTTCTTGACAGAATTGGTTGGCTTTTCTTTCATGATCCAGAAAGTCTTTGGGAAACAGGTTTTCTTCAACAAATGCAGCTTTCAAAGCTAAAAATGGTGAAGAAAATGACATGTAAATTGTACTTGAAAAGGGACCCAATGAAATGAAATAGTGGGGAGAAAATATTCAAGTTTTACTTCATTTAAAAGATTGTGTGTTTCTAAAACCTACAATTTGGGGGGAAATTTTTCTCTTAAACTTCTGTTATTCTTTAAACATCAATTTAAATGTAAAAGTTAAATTTTAACAAAGTTAGTAAATGTATTCATATAATGATAGAGATCTACCATTTTAACAGTAGAAGACTAAAGAAGATTGTTTCCATTTTTGTTCTTTATTATACTTAACAGCTATCAAGGACTCATAAAAAGCCAAGAACAAATTATTCTGTATTGAAATAAGACAATTAAAATAATCAAAACACAGTTTGACTGTCTGCATGACTAAACCAGTACATCTGCAATCACATCCTTTTAAGATGCTTTGATCTGCAGGGATCTGTGGCTTCAGAAAAAAAAAAAAGCCAAATTATCCCCATGAGTGGTTATATTGTGCATCAGTGAGAAGTAAGAGGAAATTGTGCCATGCATTCAAAAAAATAATTTTGGCCTTTTGCTTAATTTTATCATTTCAGCAAATGTTTATCAAATGTCTATTATGCACAATGTTCTGTACTCAGGCGTAAATGGAGCACAAATATAACTAAGTCACAGGCTCTCTTCTCTGGTGGAAAGCAGGAGCAGTACTCAAATCATCAAAATATCGTATAAAATAGGATACAGTTCTAAAAAGATATAAGCAATGGGAATTGTGGTTAAGCATATAACGAGAGTATAACAATATGCAGAAACCAGAGGAAAAGCTTTAAGGATCAGATGCTATTTCAGGGGAACTTAAAGTCCAGATGGGATTTTAATTGATAATAAAAATCATGGAGGTGAGGAAGGGTTACCACAGCAGAAAGGAAATGTCACCTAGAGGCAATAAAGTGAATAAAGTTATGGGGAAACACGGAGTACTGTTCAGGTAACTCTGAATAATTCAATAAACTTTAACAAACATGTAAAATATGTGAAGGAGATGAAACTTGAATGAAGTTGGAGATGGACTGAGGAGTACTTTAAATGCCAAGCCAAGGAATTTGAAATAAAATATGTAAACATTGAGCAATTTCAGAGTATAGTGGCATCTTTATATATTTAAATTGAAAAAAAAAAACCAAACCCAAAACTCTGAACTTCCCATTCTAACCCAACTGTATAAGTCAATCTATTTCCCCCTTTTCTCTTGTGTATTATACGAGAACAACCAGGAAAATGAGGGAAAATAACTCTGCAAATAACTTCCATGTCAGGCAAAACCCAAAGACAGATTTAACCTACAGCCTACAAATCATGAAGAAGGGCAGCCGAACAGCTGAGATTGGGCAGATGTTACACCGTCCAAGGTGAAGTGATGAGAAAGGAGAGTGGAACCAGGACAGCAGCAGCAGCAGGAAGCGACTGCAAAGGTGAGGGGCTCGCCCTGCAGTGTAAATGCTTTATCTTTCATTTAAACCTTCGGATGTAAACAGAGGTGAACAAAGCTGGAGACAAAAGTCCTCCTTCACCTCCCTTGGTTCAGAGAAATAGACAAGGCAGGGCTACATAAGAATCACACCAGTGAGCCATTTTTTGCTAAAAGCAGTCTGCACCTGTGGGTTGTAAAAATTGAAGGCCATACGAGTCATATCACAATTCTCACCCAGGGACCTACTACAAATTTCAAGCCTAAGAAAAGCCAATTCTTTGGGCTTATTAATTAAAAGAAAAAAATTAAAAATAAATAATTGTTATATCATGGACATGATGGTGTTATAAGCAAAATTAAAAACAAAACTTTTTTAAAAGAACAGCAAAGTGAATCAATACGTGGACCACCACAATTGGGTAGGTTTGTTACCAAGCATTTGTCACAAATTATTATTTTTTTTAAAGATTTTATTTATTTATTTTTAGAGAGAAGGGAAAGGAGGGAGAAAGACTGGGAGAGAATCAGCAATGTGTGGTTGCCTCTCACACGCCCCTAACTGGGGACCTGGCTGCAGTCCAGGTATATGCCCTGACTGGGAATTGAACCGGTGATCCTTTGGTTCTCAGGCCGGCACTCAGTCCATTGAGTCACACCAGCCAGGGCACAAATTATTTTTTAAAACTTGAAAAATACTCGCCTCTGTAAAGGAAGATCACAGAGAAAAAAATGAAAGAACTCAGGGAAGAAACAAAGACAAACAGGAAGTGGCAAAATGTGAGCTGTCAGGACTCAAGAAAGTATAGAAAAAAAATCATAAGTGAGAATAGCCATAATGGGAACATGAAATATACAAATGAAAAAAGCAAATAGTGAGATGAAAATTACAAAAAGGACAAATGAGAGAGGAAAATGACAGATGTTGAAAAAAATAGATTCAACAAATACATAAATCGGGTGGGTCCTCAAGATAGAAAACCAAAGCTGAACAAATATTTAAAGGTCTCACATAATTAAATTTTCTTCTTATAAGCAACAACTTGACATATAGAGAAGGGACATGGAGTCATCCCTCAGATTCCTCTGGGATTGGATGCAGAAGCTCACGCTCATGTCCCGTATGTAAAATGGCATGGTATTTGAATATTACCTACGCACATCCTCCCAGATACTTTAACCATCTCTAAGTTACCTATAATATTGACCACAATGTAAATGCTCTGTAAATAGTTGATATACAATATTGCTCAGGGAATAATGATAAGGGGAAAAGTCTGTACATGTTCACTATAGGCTCAACCATCGTAGGCCTAATTGCATAGTACAAATTGGCCACAAAGTAATGTTCTTTTTCTAATATTTTCACTATGCAGTTGGTTGAATTTGCAGTTGCAAAATCCACAGATAACAGAGGGCTAACTGTACTGTGTACCAGGAATAATAGACTCTGAATAGTCAAAACTAAAGCATAGCCTGGTGAAGTTAACTAGACTTTAAAGATAAAGACAAAATCATTTGGCCACCAGACAAAATGGTCAAGTCACTTAAAAAGGAGAAATATATTTTGCATTAAACGTCTTCATGGCAATGATCAATACCAGAAGATAGCAGAGAAGTACCAACAGGATAATCTAGGAAAGAATATGTCAGGTATGAATATTATAAACATCTAAGCAGTGCCCCAAGTCTAAAAATGACAAATCATTTCAACACGCAGAAAATTCAGAGGCCTTTGTTCCCACAAGTCCTTTATAAGAAAATTACAACAAAATAAACTGAGAAATGACTGAGGAAAATTTGGAAGATTTGGTGGTGAGCACTGAATATATTTAAATGTAGAATTGAGACTAAAATGTCATTCGGTTTAGGATGACAAAACAGAAGATATGTGCCACATGCCTGACAATCAAGAAATGATTTAATTAACAAAATTGGGAGGGTAACGGGGAAGTTTTACTCATGATAAATCAGCAATAGTTAACAGACAAATGACTTAAACAAAGTCAAGTAATAACAATATAAGCAAATTTAAAATAAAAGTAAACACAAAGAAAGATCATGTTGTTGAGTAAATTGTATACAGGAACAGAGAAGGGGAATGGAGAAACATGTTCACTTATTGTCACTCAGCATGGATCTAACAGTTACTGTTTTAGAAAAATAAAGGTCTAAAGGGATTAATGAACCTATGATTATAAAGGCACCACTAGAAGAAACATATAACAGTTCTCCAAATAAAAACAAAGAGAAAATTATAGATCCAGAGAAGCCGTAAAGTATATATAAACAATAAATAGCATAAAAAGAGTGTGACAAATGCAAAAGTAAAATGTCTAACATATCAATAAAAGTAAATGTGGTCAATTTCATGATTAAAAAATTATTTAGTTGGATCCAAAGCAAAAACCAACACAAATTTAAAACAAAGTGATTTAGAAATAAGCCAGTCAGAGAAAGACAAATACCGTATCAACTCACTTACATGTGGAATCTAATGAGCAAAGTAAACTGACAAATGAAACAGAACCAGAGGCATGAATACATGGAACAGACTGATGGATGTTAGAGGGCTGGGGGTGGGTCTGGATAAAAGGAGGTGAAGAGGTTAACCAAAGAACATATATGCATCCCATGGACACAGACAACGGTGTGGTGAGGGCGAGGGAAGGTGGGGCTGGGGCTGCGCGGAGCAGGGGAAAGTAGCGGGGACGGGGAACACCTCCAATAGTGTCAATAACAACAGTTTTTAAAAAGTGATTCAGAAAATTTGAAATAAAAGGCCTGAAAGTGTATCTAGGCAAATGAAAATCAAAAGAAAGCATGGCTCAAAATCCAGAATCATGAATGTATATAGAAACCCTCAAAGGAAACACAGAATCTCATAATTGCGGTTGCCAGAAATAGATGATACTAGGAACTGGACAGATGAGCATCATGGAAGGAAGGGGGACTTCTCATTGAATAATTTTTTAGATGTTCTAGTATTTACACTGTTTGAACATGTGTTTTTTTCCTTTTTTAGCAAAAATGAATAAACCTGGAACTACCTCATAAGCGAAGCTACAAATGAAAACACTTTCAATTTGGCTAATACAATGGGAGATAACGTGGAGTTCTGTACAGTAGCAGTTGATCCTGTCCCATCTGACTACAGGTTAGCACTTCAGAATCATAAGGATCCTGAATGCCTTAGAGCTCTCCTGAGATTCTCTCCGGGAGCCCTAAGGGAGAGCTCTGTCCTGTGGTGTCCCCCAGCATCGCAGATGAAATGAAAATGCCCAACCCAAGATCTGCTTGGTGAGGAAAGGCTGGCTAATCTCTCAGAGGAGAAGAGCCCCGGGCACCTTTCTCTTTGGGCTTTTATTGAGTTTAGCTCCTATAGGGATACATAGCAGGCACATAAAGCTCATTGATCAATGTTAAACAGTAATGATTAAAGGAAGGAGATATGGTTTAAGGATAACAGTAAAGGGATTACAACAGTCTTTCTGAGTCAGGGTCTGGTAGACAGAGTGATTCCCATTTGGCCCGAAAACCT